GTGTGGAGCAGCCACTCCTCCCCTGCAGAGAAACCACACAGTCCACAGCTGCCCGTGATTGTCTGCTTCCATGTTGTCCGAGCGTTGTGCACGACTGCACCTGCACACCGCCACAAATTACGCAGCGCTCTTCGACCTGTGCGCAGTAGCAACCTCATCTCGTGGCCATAGGCGGCACTGTACTATGTCTTCTTCCCACATACACCGGCTCGCATTTGGCACTGCTACTCTTCCGGAGTTATAGAGGAAGTGTCAATCATTTTTGAAGGACCTAAATAATATTAACCTTCCACCTACGTCTAGGTAATACTAGTAGCCTCTTTCCTTTTGGATTTCAATTTGGGAATTCAACAGAAACGGTAGCGTCCGTTCATTATATACAAAGAAGACTTTGGGATGCTGTATGCAACATTTATCGAATTTTATGCTGAGCGTCGGAACTCCTCTGATATTTTCCACATAGTACTGTGATTGCTTGTTGCTTTGAAACTGCAAGTTGAGGAAGATTAACAAAACAAAGAAATGTAATTTTTATTGCTTTTTTGTTTGATGTATTTCAGCTTACTGAGGGCCACCATGCAGAAGAATGCCTACATTACTCCAAAACGTGATACGACGTCTGACAGTAAAGTTCGCGAACTAGCCGTCGTGTGCTTGCCGTGTGACAGCAGTGGACGGAAATCTCAGTATTGTTTGATGACTTTGGCATATCAGCGTTTCTCAGCTGTGTTGTTGTTGATGTATGGCAGTCTCTTTCTGAGTGACGTCTATTATTGTTTGAGTGTGCTTTTGTGTCTTGCATCACGACAATGCTCCTGCTCACACGGCACTGTCTGTGTGGGAGTTTATAGCTAGTAAATAAATAACTGTGCTGAAACACTTTCCATATTCGCCGGATCTAGCCCCCAGTGACGTTTTCTCTGTTCCCGAAGATAAAGGAAATATTAAAAGGAAGACATTTTGATGACACTGATGACATCAGGAGTAATATGACGGCAGCTCTGAAGGCCATTCCACAAAACCAGTTTAAAAATGGTTTTGAAGGGTGGGTTAGGCGCTGGCATCGGCGCATAGCTTCCAATGTGGAGTACTTTGAAGGCGACCGCAGTGATATTCAGCAATGAGGTATGCAGCAATTTTATCTCGACGAGTTCGCGAACTTTATTGTCAGACCACGTATAATTGTTTTGGAAAAAAAACGCAATGAGGAGTTTTACTGACTACATTTGCGTTTTCTGTTTCACATTCTGCCTGACGGTCCTTTTCTTCCCTCTTAACAAATGACCAGGACCTCAATACACACTGCACATCTCATTTGACGGACTGCACAAAAGCAAGAGGTGGCCTGCGGGCAGCGTAGTAATATCACAGTTCCAGGGGGAAGCATCCACGCTGCAAGACAATTTTCTTTCTGATAACTTATCTTCATTTTAATAAACTATACTAATATTTAGATTTCAGTCTTCTGCAGTATGATGTCCCGCAGCTTGTTAGATGATTACTAGCGCTTCTAGGGAGCAGACTGTCTCTGTCTGCAAGGTTTTACTACTGACCGGAAACTCAGCAAGCTGATATATTATCGAAAATTGTATTCCCTCTTTTGATTATAAACTGACATTATTTGTACTTAAGCAACATCACAGGATATACAGAATTGGAAGTCTAACTACCTAACTAAGTAACCAACCAACCAACAAACCAACTAACTAACTAACTCCATGGAGTCGGGTCCTTCTTGAGAAGCCACTAGTTGCTCATTTACTCAGAATTTCCCAATATTTTATTGAACCGGAAGTTTCATTATCGTGCTCTCAGGAGCGCTCCACTGGTCCCTATCCTGAGCCAGATAAATCCAGTCCAAACGACCCCATCCTATTTAACTAAGATCCATTTTGTTATTATATTCAAACATTCAGTTATATCTTCCTTGTGGTCTCTGTCATTCTGGTTTTCCTACCAAAATTTGTATGAAATTGTCTTCGCTCCAGTGCGTACTACATGCCCAGTTCTTTCCATTCTCCTTGACTTGGTCATTCTAATTTTATTTTGAGAAGAGTACAAGTTATGAAACTCCTCATTATGCAGATTCCTCCAACCTGCTGTCACTTCATCTCTCTTCGGTCCAAACATTCTCCTCAACACCCTGTTCTCAATCACCCTCAGTCTATGTTCCTCCCTTAATATCGCCGGCCATATTTCACACCCATACAGAGCCACAGGCAAAGTCAGAGTGGAAATTTTTTACAACAGAGAAATGGGAATTATGAATTCTGCCGAGAACTCGTTTGTGATTTAGAAAATTGCAGGCCTCTGTAAGCCCGTACCTATGAATGAGCCGAGGTTTATGTAAAAGGTCGTGTTTATGATTGCTGCGCATGCAAGAATAGCCTAAGTGTATGTGATGGAGGCTGACAAATGGATAAAAGAACAGTGTACAAATTTATAACAGATACTCATGCTAAGTTTCGATTGAACTCGGGTAATGCTTGCTACCATTCGGTCCAGAACCTTTTGTCTTCTCGTCTGTTGTCCAAAAACATAAAAATTAGAATATACAAAACTATAATTTTGCCTGTGGTTTTGTACGGGCGTGAAACTTGGTCTCTGACGTTAAGGGAGGAACATAGACTGAGGGTGTTTGAGAACAGGGTGTTGAGGAGAATATTTGGACCGAAGAGAGATGAAGTGACAGGAGGTTGGAGAAAACTGCATAATGAGGAGCTTCATAACTTGTACTCTTCTCCAAGTATAATTAGAATGATCAAGTCAAGGAGGAGGAGGTGGGCAGGTCCTGTAGCACGAATGGGGGAGACGAGGAATGCGTATAGGATATTGGTGGGTAAGCCAGAAGGAAAGAGATCACAGGGAAGACCAAGGCGTAGGTGGCTGGACAATATCAAAATGGATCTTAGAGAGATAGGATGGGATGGTATGGATTGGATAGATCTGACTCAGGATAGGGACCAGTAGAGTGCTCATGTGAACACGGTGATGAACTTTCGGGTTCCATAAAATGCTGGGAAATTCTTGAGTAGCTGCAGAATTGGCGGTTCCTCAAGAAGGGCTCAGCTCCATGAGAAAGTAAGTAAGTAAATACTCATGACAATTTAATTTTGTTGTAAAAATCTCAAAATTCCTATATGTGGAAACTCTACTCGTAAAAGCCCAATATCATAGAAGGGGTAGCAGGTTAATCCTATTAACGCACTCTGTTGAGCTGTAACAGCGGACTGAAATTCTTCAGCTGTGAAAGAGCGGACAACCCTAAATGTTGCGGTCCGATGAAGAAGAGTAACTGCATTGCAATTGTACACTGCACTGGGCCCACTCATTCTGATCAAGTTAGTCATTTGAGTGCAGGAAACGAGTTGGGTTGCATTAAGATTAACTCTTACTGCAAACAGTATTTCTGCATAAAACACTGAATGAGCAAAACGGGCATTGTTTAGAATAACAACAGAAAGTGGAGATTTAAAAATCTAAGAAAATTTATCCGCAAAGTCTTCAACAAAACACTATGGTTGTGTTATTATATTTTCCCAAATTTTTAGTTAGGCGACAACATGAACATTCTTTTGAAACTCAGAGGCATTTTTCCTAAAGTACTTGCGTTTAATGTTATATTTTAGCGTCCTGTTGCACTGATTTAAGTCCATGATTTATTTCACCGTCTTCTAGTGCATACACTTATCTACCTCACTCCTCTCTCTCGCACTACATGTTTCGGCACAAAAGTGCCATCNATTTCTTGTATCTTCTGAAATGTCAAGTTTTCTTTCTAAATTTAAAAAAATTAGAAAACCAACGAGGAAAGGTAAAATTTTTGGACTTTATATAAATAATGGCTAAATGTATAGCTTCACGCACTAAGACAGTGAGATTATTCACTGCAGAGTGTATGGAATTTTCTTTTAGAACACAAGACCAGTCAGAATGATGGAAGACGTTAAAGAGCAACAGGTAATCACCTTGAGCATAGTTGCAATGAGGGGTCAGGGGGATGCGATGACAGCCAATCGTTAAATTGAAGTAAAGAAGAAGAGGTGGATGGTATTTACCAGGAGTGACCACGGTAGAGCTTGAAATAGAAGGGCTTCAGTCGCTAATATGTGAGCATACTAAATCGAGCAGTGCGCTACTTATGATAGAGTTATTGCTTTGATCAAGACCAAGAAAGCATGTGGCTATGTGAATTGCATTTCCTTTAATTTTATTGTAATACTAGGAATTGGAAGTGGCACGTCATTAACCCAATCACAGTTCGATAAATTAAAATCATCCAACATGATTACCTGATACTGATGTGAATTTAAATTTTGTTCCAAAAAGTTTAAGTAATTGTCAATAATTGTCACATTACAATCAGGAGAAAACTAAATATTTCATATTTGTGGATTTAAATTGTTACTGACAGGTAAAAAAAGAAACTCCATGATTTCAGTCCGCATGTGAACCATACCGACCGAGCGACCGCTGCCAACGTTTGCGGATAGAGGATGTCACATGGTCAGTGCAACGAATCCCCACGGCCGTTAATTTCGGTTTTCTAGACCGAAGCCGCTATTTCCTTGAAACAGCTCCTCAATTATCATCACGAGGCTGAGTGGACCCGTTCCAGACCCACTACTTCTCCGAAAAAAATCTGGTAGCGCCGGGAATCGAACCCGGACCTTTGGATCTGTAAGTACTACTACAACTACTACTACTACTACTAATAATAATAATAATAATAATAATAATAATAATAATTCCGCTAAATATCAATAAAAGTATATAGTAATTGAATTTTTAACAGTTCGACAGCCCAAAGGCCAATGTTAATAATACACAAGCAAAATACAACAATAATAATAATAATTTAAAAGGTACTCATAATATCTAAATGGACACTGGATATTATCTAAGTTATACATGTTAAATCTGGTACTCAACATTTGGCATGAGGTCAAAATAAATTTGCCGTTCCTGTCCTCCTTCATTAACACCCCTGTTTTGCGATGTACAGTACTTCCGGTGGATGTCCGTTTTGAAGCAGCCTTAGAAGCTAGCTGATAACTCGTTACAGTATCTGTAATCCTCGACTGTCAGAGCAAGTGTCAACAGCCATTTGTGATTCACCAGCCAGCATGGCGGCATATTTTTCTTATGCGACTCTGATCCTGCAGGGCCTACTCATCTGCACCACGTTCCGACCAGGTAGGCATTATAATTCAAATGCGACAAAGCAGTAGGTGCTAGAGGCTGTGAGAACCACAGTTTGCAAGTTGTTGCTCGTAACACAGAGTTAATTTTAAATTAACTTGTATCTTATTTTCTTCAAGGTATTAATTTCAAATGTTACATTTGTGACTCGAAATCGAATCCCAATTGTATGGATCCGCTGGGTGAAAACATGCCTGAAATGGTAGACTGTGAGGACTTCTTTCCTCTGCTCACTCTACAGCTGGGCATAGACTCCTCAATTTTAACGGAACCCTTGCTCTACGGGTGTCAGAAGCTGGAAGTACAAGGTAAATGTAATGTATCTAACAGGAATATGACTTTGAACTAGTGACATACATAGGCATACGCCAACGCAATGAAAATTTGTTATCCTTATCGAGGAAAGAACATCTCCTTCGTGCCAACTTTCAACTCGTTTAGGTCAATAGTACCAAACTTCTTCACCTCTGAGGGTTCTTTGATACAAATAAAATGTTTGAGCTCCCCAAACACATTAAAACACCCTAAATATGGTAATTACTGATGAGTTATAATTATTTCTATGCTATACGAGGTATGACAATAAAGTTCGCGAACTCGACACCGTGTGCTTGCCGTGGCAGCAGTGGACATAAACCTCAGTATGGGTTGATTCCATGGAAATATCAGCGTTCCACAGCTGTATTATTGTTGATCTATGGCAGTCTCTTTCTGAGTTGCGTCTAATATTGTTTGCGTGTGTTTTTGTGTGCCGTCGCGAGAGTGTTGGAGCTTGAAGTAGAGAAACGATAGGACACAAATTTCTTGTTAAACTTGGCAAGAGTAGAAGCGAGATCAGAGAGATGTTAGTGAAAGTGCCCCATTATCTGTTCCCGAAGATAAAGAAAATACTGAAAGGAAGGCATTTTGATGACATTAATGACATCAGAAATAATACGACAGCAGCTCTGAAGGCCAGTCAACACAACCCGTTCCAAAATTGTTTTGAAGGGTGGGTTAGGCGTTGGCATCGGTGCATAGCTTCCCAAGGGGAGTACTTCGAAGGAGACCACAGTGATATTCAGCAGTGAGGTATGTAGCACTTTTACTGATATAAGTTCGCGAACTTTATTGTCAGAACACGTATTTTTCTGTTATGTTTAATTTAATGTAGCATTCTTCATCAGTTTATTTGTATTATAATTAATTTTTGCGGCCCTCTAAGAGCTCTTTGTTCCCACTCTGATTAAGTTCAGAAGAACAAAAACGATACCGCTACAATTCTCTTAACTGAAGGATGTTATTTTAATAGAGATATGAAGGTAGAGTAGGAACATAATTTGCAGAGAAGTATGCATAAACTTGGGTTTCCAAATGCGTTATTTATAATTTTTATGTCTCATATGTTTCTATGTTAATTTATTGCTGTGAAGAATCTATCGTAAAAGTATTTTCCCATTCTTCCTCCTCTGTTATGAAGCCGGGAAGTTAACCGTATTATTACGTATTAACCGTCTTTAAAATTGGACGACTTATGAGCAAAATGTGTGATGAATTGAGAGGAGGAAATGGGGGTAGGTGGTTAGACGGTCTCCATTAGTTCCAGAAAGCTTCATTTTGAGGAAGGCTTAACTATCATTCCCAACAATGATATGTTACGAACGAATTCACAAGCCGACGTAATAATTTCATTTCAATTATTACTGGTCATTCCCTCAAATTTCTTTAACGAATGCAAGAATCTACATAAAGACATTTTTATCCCTAAAAGAATCAAATGTCAAGCTTGCACAACCATCGATATATGCATGGATAACTTTTACCAAAGCTGTTTTCATTATTCGATTAATTTTGTGTCACTGTATTTCAAGCCCAAAAATGTTGTAACACTTACTTATGGAGCTGAGCCCTTTTTGAGGAGAACCTAAATGTGCAGCTACTCAAGAATTTCCCAGCACTTTATGGAACCCGAAGGTTCATTACCGTGTTCACAAGAGCCCTCCACTGGTCCGTATCCTGAGCTAAATGTTGTAATAATGAGATTTTTTTTAGGAAAATTGCTGAAATCATATCTGAGCTGCTTGTAAATTAATGGGTTATATTTGGACTGATTCGAACTGAAATTAAATTAACAGAACAACTGTCCGTCAACACTTCCCCGTTCAGAAATTTGGGGATATTAACACGTAAACAGATTGAGGTACAGGCGGAGGAGGAACGGACGCAACCTCCCATATTTTCTATGCTTTACTGTCATAGGAAAGCCTAATCAAGATGGGATAGGACTATGCTCTATATCTAGGTAAAGGCTGAACTCCTTTGCAGCCGGTAAGCATACCGGAAAATTAGTTGGAAGCTAGAACTCGCACATTTTCTGATGCTTTCCAAGTTTCGGCCTTGAGGCAAAAATCAAGGTGAGAGCATAAGCAAACATGTTTTTAGAAAAAAAAAAAGGAAGCTCTAAACACCGTACCTGAAGGTGAAGAAAGGGGGATTGAAGTAGAGTTCTCTGCACCCTTAACCTCGGCGCTAGAAAAATTAGTTAGCGTCAAGCTCTGGCGGACGTTACTTTCAGGGGAGAATTTGCCTTGTTATCTATGTGGCCTTATCCATTCAGGTTTTCCTGCTAATATTTGTTATGCAGGAGTTAGGGCTACCATTAGTCTTAATGCTTAGCCCACCTAATACTACATGAATCCATTACCGTAATTTGTTGTGGTTTATTTTAAAACGCTGCCAGTAGCTGAGTTAAATGAGGTAGAGGGTAAAGAACATTATCGGGTTGAAATCTCAAACAGGTTCGCAGCTTTGGAAAACTTATAGGATGTGAAAATTAACAAAAGTTGGGAAATTATTACAGAGAATATAAAAATTTCAGCCAAAGGGAATCTGGATTATTATGAACTGAAGAAGCATACATAATAGTTTGACGAAGGATGCTCGAAACTATTAGCTCAAAGGAAACAACCACATTTCAGTGGTTGCAGGAACCAGGTGAAATAAATGGAGATATCTAGAACTATGTAAGACGTGAAGACAACAAGCATTTCAGAAATAAAAAGAGCGAATATCTGAAAGACAAAATTGATGAACTTGCAAACAACAGCAAAAAAAAAAAAACATTAGAGACCTGTGAGAGTCACCCACATTGAATCAAGCGCTATAATAAAGTCCGAGAAGGTAATATTTGCCTGCTAAATTTCCTATCCAAAATGGTCTAAAACAAGGAGATGTTTTATCGCCATTGCTTTTAGCTTTGCTTTAAAATATGCCAATAATAAGACCAAGGAAAACCAGGTTGGACTGAAATTAAATGGACTCATAAACTGCTCTTCTGCGCTCATGATGGAAATTTACTGGGAGACAGCATGGATACTATAAAGAAAAAAACACAGAAACTCAAATTGACGCTAGTAAGAAGGCCGGTCTGGCAGTAAACGCAGAGAATACTAAACATATATTCCTGTCTTTTCACCAGAATGCAGGGCAGAATCATAGTATAAAGATAATTAAAAGATTCTTTGAAAATATGACACAGTTCAGATATTTGGGGAACGAGAATAAGAAATCAAAATTTGATTCAGGAAGAAATTAAGAGGAGACAGAATTCCAGTAATGCTTGCTACCATTCGGTTCAGAAACTTCTGTCTTCTCATCTGCTGTCTAAAAACTTAAAAATTAAATATATAAAACTATAACTTTGCATGTTGTTCTGTGTGTGTATGTGTGCGTGTGAAACTTGGTCTCTGACATTCAGGGAGGAACATAGACTGAGGGTGTTGAGGAGAATATTTTGATAAAAGAGGGATGAAGTGGTACGTAATGAGGAGCTTGTATTATTAATCAGGTGTAATTAGATTGATCAGGTCCAGAGAGATCAAATGTAAGGGCATGTAGCATGCATGGGGAGAATAGGAATGCATATAGGATTTTTGTGGGAAAGACGGGAGGAAATAGACCACTAGGAAGACCTAGATTTAAGTAGAATGATTAATAAAATGAATCTTACAGAAATAGGATGGGATGGTATGGACTGGATTGATCTGGCTTAGGATAGGAACAAGGGGAGGACTCTTCTGAACACCGTAATGAATTTTCGGGTTCCATCAAATGTTGAGAAATTATTGAGCAGCTGCGCAACTGGAGGCTTCCCAAGTAGGGCTCAGCTCTATGACGTTAATCAGTTAGTTACTTGGTAGCTTTATATACTGGCGATTAGAAGGCTCACTGGTGAATTGGAAATGAGTTGGAAGGAAGTGGTCGTGACCCGATCAAGGTGCTAGCTCAGCAATTCCGGGGAGGAGCTCAGGAAAACTACGAAAAATCCCGATCAGGGTAGCCGGTGCTCCTGATGAAATTCAGAGCGAGAATATCCCGAATAGAATTTTCGAAGAGTTATCGCTACACCAATCTGCATAGTTACCTTAATATTTTGTGAGGAAAGCACAAATTACGATATTTACAATTGCGTACTTTTCTGCAGCCTCCTATTGCATACCTTACCTCGGGTCCGCGCATTCTTATCTTCCTGACCTCAAATAACTCAGCATCAAAGAACAGAGCTAGTAAAATTCTATTGGTTTCCTTTTATGTCTAGATTCGAAAGGAGGACTTGTTACGGTGAGGACCTGTGCAGCTTTCGAAAATGACTCCAGTACAGCATGCGACGTAAAGGATAACTTCCATGAAATGGAAGAGAAATTCACTTTGGAGTTCTGTGGAGTCTGTGAAAACGAGCTGTGCAACGCATCTGTCACGAGTGAAATATCTTCGACCCTCCTGTTTATGTTGGTAGCATTTGCCGCTTTAATTATGCTACGCCGATGAGTTACCCAACTGACAATCCGCAGAAATTGTAGCAAATGTCTTTTCGAGTATTTGAGGACATGACAATTTAAACATGTGAGTCGGTTTGATTGAAGAACATGGTTAATTGATTACTGAGAGATAAAAGAATGATTAAAAACTATTTCATAATATATTATTTGAAGTGATAATTGAGAAAATACTTTATGCAATGTTTCAACAATATGATTAGTTAAGTGATATTCCTATACAAACGGAAAAGGAATTTAAATTGTAAGTACAAATCCTATAACTAGAATTTGCCTTCTGAGGCGTGTTTTGAAAATGGTTGCAATGAAACGTATAGAGACACGAATTATATTTTTGGCGTAAGTGTCGATCATTTCACTATTAAGCTTCCGTTATTCTGTTAGTAAATGTTGAAGAAGGTATTGTTTTCACATAATCCGTGACGTAATTTGCATAGTTAGGAGGCATTTCACTAAACATCACTTTACAACAGAGCTAGCTCGTATGAAACCTCGCGAGCATACCGAAAACCCACATCATCGCTTGAAGTCGAAGGAGCGATACAAGAACCTTTATTATTTGCTGTTAGGACCCGAACTGAGGGCCCTCACCCGACGTTGGTTTCTCTATCCTCTAGTCCACCACAACACTCTTCTAACCGTGTACGCTCTGCACAAAATTTGCTTCTGCCCCGTGAATATTCATCACGTTTACAATTTCAGACTTATAAAATACAAACAAGGCATTTGTAATTGGATATTCTATACAGACAGTACGTATTGTCTGTTCAAAAAGCCTTTAAAATACCATATAAACAAGTTTTCTTTTATTGCTAGTGGGTTGGGACTAAGTCCTTTGTACTGCGGCCAATTCTGGCCTATTGTACCAGCCCCAGATGATAGGTGAGGGTGATTGTGGAGCAATTGATGGAATGAAAATTAGCAGGGGAAACCGAAGTACTCGGAGAAAACTTGCCCCAGCGCCACTTTATCCACCAAAAATCCCACTTTACCTGACCCGGGATCGAACCCGGGCCGCCGCGGTGGGAAGACAGCGACTAACCGCTTGAGCTATGGCGCGGCCTAAAAATCTTATAGAGCCGGAAATCGAACCCGGGCCTCTGGATGTGTAGCCAGGAACTCTGACCACTAGACCACAGAGGCGGTCATAAACAAACTTACATATAAATATACGCACTCTCACATTGTAAACAGATCCTCTGTTACTGGGGACTTATTGATGAGGGTTCATTTCTTTGTAAATCCTTTAAAATACCTTATAAATATAAATTGGAAGGTATGAAATATTTTTGTAGGTGTATCTTCTTCATTTTATTTTAATACACCTTCTCCATTATTTCAGAATTTAAATAGAAAAACTCCGTGATTTTAGTCCGCAAGCGAACTGTACCGACCGAGCGACCGCAGCTTGTCGGCGAAGTTTAGTGCCAACTTTTGCGGATAGAGAGTGTCGCGTGGTCAGCGCAACGAATCCCCATGGCCGTTAATTTCGGTTTTCTGGGCCGAAGCCGCTATTTCTTTGAAATAGTTCCTCAATTATCCTCACGAGGTTGGGTGGACCACGTCCCAGATCCACTACTTCTCAGAAAAATTCTGGTAGCGCCGGGGATCGAACCGGACCTCTGGATCTGTAGCCAGGAACTCTGACCACTAGACTACAGAGGCGGTCCAGAATTTAAATACGTAAATCAATTGTCATTTGAACTCTTCATGTGCAGCAGTTCCTAGCGCAGTACAAGGGCTGACTTTCATATTTTGTAATTCTTTTCCAAGGTTCTTGTGACCTTCGTTACAATTCTTGGCCTACTTTACATATATAGGTACGTTCTCCTTACTTCCTCCTTTTCTAAGGGAAAAGAGCCTTATGGTGCCATTTTGTCTGTGCATGGAAATCTTGCTAGTAGACACAATACCTACTTCGTATCTTTAAAGTTATTTTAAGTGTTCAAAATCTCATAATTATTATATATTTTTATTTATCTCTCGTCCGGCATTCTAGAAACGTTTCGGGAACTAAATCTCTTTCCGTCCTCAGGTGAGGTGTAGGTCCACTGCCACCACCACCACTATTAATCCTACTTATCATTATTAGGTGAAGGAACGTTTTTCTTCTAAGCATGAGTTTATTGGATAAGAAAACTTTTATTAAGTTTAAGAAACCAGCAATTGTCAAGAACGCGATTTATACGAGAGAAACAAATTCTTTCGGAGTGAATAAGAATGTATGAGACATTCCAACCTGTACAAATGATGCAAAATGCATTAACAATTTGGAAACTTAATTAATAAAAAATGTTAATTATATCTATGAAGTAATTCGTCCTCTTATATTGTAAACTTGTAGTTTAATGTGGTTTGCGCTTCCACTATTGGAAATGCTGATCTACGTGTACATAATACTGAATGTATGTTTGCATTCAAACATGTGATCGTATTCTTGCGTTTGCGCATAAATTATTTTGGACCATAGCACAAACCCTCCAATTTACTGCGCTTATTTCTGGGACAAGCTGTGTATTCTGCAAGTTATCTTCTCAATTGCAGGGTTGTATGACAAATATTCTGCTGGCAAGCATTGGGCTACACAGTACAGCATTGTGTTTCCTTAAACTTACGGAAATGTCGCTAGATGGCAGGAGAATATCGCATTGAGGAACGGTGTCGTGTTCCACCATGGGAAAAATTAATGGCTCAAATGATTTTAATAGCTCAATATACATCTAGTTGTTTCCTTGGCACTACAGCCCCAGTGGGCCTAGGCCTACCGCCATGAACTTCTCTGTTCCTTTTTACTTCGGTTTTTCTAGATCTTACACATTCGGTAGGACTCCTTGGGCGGGTGATCAGATTTACACCTAGTAACAACCTCAAATGCCGGTCACGGTAGCCGAGCGGTCTAAGGCATGTACTGTCTTCCCTCGCTTGGAAACCGGGATCGTGGGTTCGAATCCCACTCAGGGCATGGATGTTTAGTTTGTGTGTGTGCGTTTTTCTGTGTTTGTGTACAGGTAGAGGCCTTGCGACGAGCTGATCACCCGCCCAAGGAGTCCTACCGAATGTGTAAGATCTAGAAAAACCGAAGTAAAAAGGAACAGAGAAGTTCATGGCGGTAGGCCTAGGCCCACTGGGGCTGTAGTGCCAAGGAAAAAATATTGCTCCACAATCACCCTCATCTATCATCTGGAGCTGGTACAATAGGCCAGAAGTGGCGTTAGTACAAGGGACTGAGTCCCACCCCACCAGCGTTAAAAAAAATAGGTATGACGATTTCTTGTGAGGTTCCTTACACATGCCGTTGTGACAGAGGCCACATTTCGAAAGTAATTCCTTTCGGTTTGCTAGCCATTGCTGCTTTAGTTGCATGTTGCACTGGACGAACTATAAGAAATATTTCTATTTTTAACTGTGCCAAATTTCTTACCATATTTTTTGTATGCTGTATGTGGTAAAAGTAAAGTTATCCCTGCAACAATCCGTGAAGACCCATAGGGTTGTGAGACATCGATGCTCCCACATTTTCTAGACAATCGGCTCACACAAGGCGGTGAGGTTGTCAGCCTTACGCGCCGGCCGCCCTTTACACCCCACGAAGATTCCTGGTGTTCATTTTTGTTAGAGGCTGAGTCGACCAAAGAGCAATAGTGCGACTGGAAAGGTTAGGTCAATTGAAAAATCCAATGAACTCAGAGGGATTCGAACCCGCGACCTTCCGGCTTGTAGCATAATGCCTCAACCAACTACGCTACCATTTACCTAATTCATATTTCTAAAATAACGCATAAAGCACAGAAAATTATTATGTATTTACATACCGTTGTACCATTGTACTATTATTACATTATTATTTATTTTTTAACTATGTCTTGGCTTATTACGAGTGATTTAAAATTATAGACTGTAGAAATGAAGTACTTTTCCATCACACTTTTGTCTGCATGTCTTCTGTATTATAATTTAAGGAGTCTACCAAGAAAGACAAATTATTGTGAAACAAATTCAAATCTCTTTTGCCTCGAATTCCATTAAGGAATTATCATGTTTACAAGCCTCTAACTCTTAGACTTATGTCTAAACAAAAGTTTACCATCGCTACAAAGACGTCTGGTGAGTGCAGATGTGCAGTCAGTATACTGACGCGATGATGTAGCTTTGCAATACTTATTTCATTCAACTATTTAGATATTTAAACGAAGTTCAGAAATTAATATGAAGAGAGTAAAGACTGGATTACTGCAATATATTTTCCATTCTGGAGTGAATGTTTGTAATCTGTTAATAAGAAGCGTGTATGAAGTAATGGTAATTAGGAAACATTAAACAGAATGAAAATCGTGGTCGAATGCGTAGCCCTCCTGTGCCGTGTTTTGGAAGTCCAGGTTCAAATCTTGGCCAGCATACCGACCGATTGTAGTGGTTTTACTCAGACCCTTCCTCTTCATTAATTTGCATTCCTTGCTTCTCTTCTCCTCTGTTCTCCGTCGCTTCCCTTCTTGTCACTATAGAAACCGGGACCAGACGATTACCGCCCACGAGCTTCTCTTTTATCTGGCCAATTTGATTTCATGAGTTGCCTCGTAAATTCTGTTTTAATTCGCCCGCATTTTGAATTAGTCTTCCTGCTTTTTTTATTGCTAGTGGGGTGGGACTAAGTCCCTTGTACTGCGGCCATTTCTGGCCTAGTGTACCAGCCCCAGATGATAGGTGAGGGTGATTGTGGAGCAATTAGTGGAATGAAGATTGGCAGGGGAAACCGAAGTACTAGGAGAAAACCTGCCCCAGCGCCACTTTGTCCACCAC